GTTTAAAATAGAATCCATATACTGAATGCAAATGCCTCTCCAATCTCCATATCCTAAAACATGAAACCAGGAAATAAGAAAAGGAAATTCCTAGGGAAAAGAAATCAATACCTAAAGTAGAACACATACTATACATAAAAATTTGCCTAAAACTTTGTATAAATGACACAATACTTCAAGGTTTTTTTATATAAAATATAGAAAGAAGCGCAAATGTCAGTATTCAAACCCTAAATCTTCTGGATGCTGATGATTGTATGAATCAATCGGGTTAAACCCTGAAAACCGCAAGATACTTCATCGATACTATATTTTTCATAAGTCATTTGGCAGTTCAAACTTTTGTGAACCAAGAATTTGGTGGGAGCTGTTCTGAACAAAGACCGCAAGAGCACATCTGTCGCTGTTGAAACCATCCCATAGAGTGAAAGTAGCAGTGCCTGAGACCGTCTTCTTGGTGGATATGTCTTTGACAGTGCAGAGCTTTTCAAGCTTTCTAACAACAAAATCATTGGATAAGACTTTCCCTCTGTTCTCTCCTGCCGGGCAGTCATTCACCAATCCGTTCTCATACAATGCCACCATTACATTGACACCATTGTTGTCTACTTTAGACCTCAAAGCTCCTGTTAGGGTCACTTGCAATGACTCTGATGTAGGCCTTTGGAAATTAGCCTGTTTCAGGCTAAATGTTTCAGAAGAATTGTTTCTTGTCAATGAAGATGAGGATGAACATGAACATGGAATGCATGAAGTGATCTTTGCTATCCTAGCTAACTAAACACTTAGGTTGCAACTTTCTTAGAATCAATTAAATATCAAAAGTGTATGTCAGTTTAATCGATTCCGTTATCAATTGTGAAAACCAGTAGCGGAGCTAACTGAATGAATCAATTTTCATAAACGATTAATTTCATAACTGAAAAAACTAAATTAACCAAATATGGTTGATTTGGTTAGTTAAACCAGTTTAAACCGAATAATGCTCTCCCCAGACATAATCTACTTTTCATGTATAGAAGACAAGCATTAGAATTGGGCGAGTCCGCTTTGAGACTTTAGCTTAGGAGGCAGAGTATTTGATGAAAATGATTTATTTTCAAGGGATGGCTTCCTTGGTCTCGCAGTTCAACTACATTAGCAAAAGTAAAATGGAAAATTTATATGAACATGGATATATTTTGAAGATGATTAATGCCCTTGGCAAAAGATATGAGGGATGGTGGAGTGGGAGCTAATTACTAATAGCCTTAGGGTGTAAGTACTGGATCCATGTATGTTTCTTATTCGAATTTTTTTTTCCCGTTTTTTCATGTATTTTCCCTTCATATCATGAAATATAAAATAAATAAATAAATAAATATTCTTTTGATAGATGAGGTTATCTGGATTTGATCTTGATAACTACAACTAAGAGAACATATGTATTCCATTATTGATTCATGATTTACTATAAAAGTTTCAAGATTCAAGTTCATGACATAAGTTAAAAATTATTTAATTCAATAGTGGACCCCCTAACTAAAATTACTAAATTTCTTAATTTATTTCCACAATTACTTTCTGAGATCTTCATATCAGAATAAGCAAAAACTTCACAGATTCTAGCAAAGGGCTAGATTTAGAATTCATCAATTCAATAAAAAAGAAACGATTGCCATCAAATCAAAGATATTATTTAAAAAATCCAATACCTGGAATGATGGAGCAGGGAACCTGGGAGCACTGGAAATGGTGGATAACAAAGTATCTTCATCATTACCCACACACTGAGCCCTACCTTGAACCACAACCTGAGGCGTAAACATGGTGTCAAGCCTCAATGCCTCAACATAAGCCTTTTGTCGAACAGTTGATAGGCTCGAGCCATAAGGGTCTTTCCACCCCATGTAATCCCAGTAATCAACATGATAAGCAAGCACAATAAACGGCGTATCCAGCTGAAAATTCCCTCTACCTAGTCTCGACAAAAGCAACTCCGCCGCCGGCGATGTCGCGCATCCCTGTGAAGAGAACAACTCCACCAGGACTGGCCCATCACCCGCCGCTGCTTCAACCACTTTTCCATCGGTTTTCCCATTTGCATGGACTCCCTTTTTCGATGAAGACGATGAACCCCTACCAAAACAGGCAAGAGACGACGACCCATGATAATAAACCCACTGCTCTCGTCTCCCTCTCCGCCCTCTAATGGTAGGTCTTTCGACTCACGAGGAAATGAAGAAAAAAAGCTCCTTCGGAAACAAAAAAAGGTTTTTTTTTCAGTAATGGAAAAAGGTTGAAAGTGTGGTGGAGAAAGGATTGTGGCGAATAAGATGCAAAGAAGAAATGGAGGGTTTAGAATATTTTCTGCTTTTGATCTTAATAAACAAAAAATTGTTGTAAATAATGTAAATTTCCTACCATGTTTGAAGAATCTTGTGGAGACAGCGTTGCTTTAAGAACACGAATTTGTCGGTGACACGTTGTGGTTGTTGTCAGCGCTGGGTTGGCTGTCAGTGGAGCTAGAAAGAACACCGGCACCAACAACAAAACTATATATTTTCCACCCATAGATGGAAAGGTTCACAAGGAATCTTAATACTAAAGAAATAAGAAAATGTATTCCCCAATAAACTTGTAAGATACTATGATATTATAATAGGGTAAACTATATGTTTAGTACTCAAGTATTACTTTTAGTCTGTTTTGGTCACTTAACTATTTTTTATTTCAAAATCATACTAACATTACGTTTTAGTTTCATTTTAGTTACATATCATTAAAAATTAACGGAGATGCCACTATAATGCCACATCATTATTATTATTTAAATATCGCGTTAGTAGTTCTGTTAATTTTTAACGACAAGTAACCAAAACGAAATCAAAACGTAATGTTAAGTATGATTATAAAAATAATAGTTTGGTAACCATAATGGAACAAAAATCATAGTTAGAATAGTGAGAATTCAAAACTAATATATTTATATATTATAATATAAATTTGTATATATTAAAATTTATTAATTATTATAAAAATAAATAGATTGATCCGAGATATATCTAAAAGTAATTTATATATAATGAAAGTCATGGGTGAGTATTCAAGGTTTGATGGGTTTACACTTTAGCAACAACTCATGACCTCATTGGCGAGATTCAAACATTTTAGTTGCTATTCATAAATCATAATAGGTTTGGAGTAATTATCAATAGCAAATTTGTTTAGATAATGTAGTGAGAAGAAAATGGTTCATACGATGTATATGAGAAATTATTTTTTAATTAGGATGGAATGAATAATGTGTGAAGGAAGATAATCGAATCACTTGGTGTTTTTTGAAAGATGCCAAAAGATACAACGTCTATTGAGTTAGTGCTTTATTAAGGTTGGCGTCCATATTATATGGCGTATGAGGAAGACGTCGTGTTTTTCAGACATCTTTCCAAAGACATCAAGTGATTTTATTATCTTCTTGTTCATTCCACCCTGGTTAAGAAAATCATTTCTCAACCTATTGACAACGTACACACTCTGTAAACATAACTACTCGAATTCAGGATGGTGATTTTCTAAATCTATTTTACTTCACATACAATGTCATGATTCAAATGTCTAAACTATTATTTAAGAGACATCGTAACTTATCCTAGTAGATAATGATTGCCAGAAATCATAATTAATTTTTTGTTTTACCATTTTTAAAGAAGTGATGAAAATCAAAATCATATTCGAAATAAAATTAATTTCTACTTAATCATTTAATGGAGAAATATTGTGGATAATGAGGAAGTGAGTTGGAGATATTTCAAATCATTTGCAGCCTTCTCATTGACTCATGATTTCAACCCTCAAATCCCCGCCTTATTGTTTCTGGGCCATCCATTTCTTACATAAAATATTCACTTCCCTTTTTTATACATTGAGCTCTAAATTATTAACCGAAAATCTACAGAAAACAATGGCTTCAATGCTCAGCTCTGGAACTGTTCTTAGGCCAACCACGTTTCTCGGCCAAAACAGAAATGCTAACTCTCTTAGAGACGCTGTTCCTACATGCACTGCCTAATATACAATGGTCTGTTCTTTGGCTTCTCTTTGTTTCTTCTTTGAATTTTCGTAGAATTGTTCAATTGTTTTCTGATTTTGAAGGTGTAATCATGTGTAGGGAAATGAACTGTGGTATGGACCAGACAGAGTGAAGTATTTTGACGGGTGAGTTCGCTGGTGACTGGTTGGGACACTGCTGGTTTGTCTGCTGATCATGAGGCCTTTGCTCGGAACAGGGCTCTTGAGGTATCCTCTCTTTATTCAACCCTTTCACTCTTCATCTTGTAAATTCGATCTTCATAACCAAAACAATCCAAAACATTTAGGTAATCCATGGGAGATGGCAATGTTGGGAGCGCTAGGCTTGCATCACACCAGAAGTACTTGAGAAATGGGTTCGGGTTGATTTCAAGGAACCAGTGTGGTTCAAGGCAGGAGCTCAAATCTTTTCGGAAGGTGGCCTGGATTACTTAGGCAACCCGAACCTCGTCCATGCTCAAAGCATCCTCGCCGTCCTCGGATTCCAAGTCGTCCTGATGGGCTCGTCGAAAGATTTCGCATCAACGGCCTCCCTGGTGTTGGGGAAGGCAACAATCTTTACCCCGGCGGCCAATACTTTGACCCTCTTGGCCTTGCCGATGATCCCGTCACGTTCACGGAACTTAGGGTGAAGGAAATCAAGAATGGAAGGCTGGCAATGTTCTCCATGTTTGGCTTCTTTGTTCAAGCCATTGTTACCGGAAAAGGTCCCTTGGAGAACCTCTTGGACCACCTGGACAACCCTGTTGCAAACAATGCTTGGGTCTATGCCACCAAGTTTGTGCCTGGATCCTAAATTTGCATTGTGCCTATCCGTGTAATTGTAGATTTTCAACAACTTTGACAATTTAAAACTAAGTTTCATTGAGAACGAAAACGTAATTTTTTATTTCATCTGAATTGCAAAGAAATTACAAACATCTTTCATCACTAACAAAGCAGAATTATACACAAAAAACTAAAACAAACTATTCAAACAAGACACCCCTATTTGTCTAATGCACATATGATAATCTCTCCACCAAGGTAACAAAAATTGGTAGATACATACAAATACAATGTCTCCTCACTGTTCATGGACTGTAGATATATTTGTTTCCACAAATGTAAAGAATTGTACCAAGAATGGAAGGAGGGAGATGATCATTTCAGACTGGGAATTTTATCATGCCTTTGAACCTAGCTTTCCCCACCATTTTCTTCGAACTTTGTCTGATTCGGGATGCCCACGCTTATGTATTCTTGCCTTAGTTTCATTTAATCTCAGCTTGTAATCTTTCTTCCAGGTCTCAAACCGGTTTTTTAATCTCCGAAGTTCGTCTTCAGGATTCTTATTAGAACCTGGCTGTGGCATTTTGATGTCAATCAAAGATATAGCATCAGCATCAAAAGTTTGTTTCCTCTGCTCAAATTCCTTTAACAGATTGCCCAGAGCATTCAAAGAGCCATTCTCTCTACCCACAACATCAGGCATATCATTAGAAAATAAGACGGGTGTGTTCCCACCGGTAGTTCGAGATCCCATGGACACGTTATCTTCAGAATCATAGCAGCGAGGAGATACCACATCAACTCTTCCTAGCTGACCAGCAGCACTGTTGGCAGCAAGACTCTGTCTGGCAGCAGTAAGACTTGTCTGAAATAAATGCAGTTGGAATCAATAATCGAAGTTACTATTATTATATTTTTCTAATTACGTTATAAGAGATTACTGAATTAAATCATAGACAAACCAACAAATCATGGTAGAAAGATTCAACAAATCCGTGATATTAGCTCCCATGTAAAGCTTACAATCCGCCAATTATTTTAAGTCGGTTTACATGATTAACTATGATCATCAGGATCACATTAATTTTGCAGTCACTTTGAGGATTATCAAGAACTTTTGTGTTGGCCAACAACGACTCTAATGCAAAGATGTTTTAATATTGATATATAAAAACACATACTCACTTGAAGTGATGCCATTTGCTTTTGCCACATATCCTCCATTTTCTTCATCTTTGCCTCGTAATCCAACCACCTTGCCTCGGACTTTTGTAGTTATTCTCGTAATGTGGCATTTTCTTGTTCTTTTTGCCTCAAGGTCTCCTCTGCCTTGAGAACCCTTCTTTGAAGCTCTGGCATTGCAGAAGGTAGAACTTGAATATAAAGCATGTATTTTCATTATTCTTAATTTCACAAGTGGAACTAAAAAATCAATTTTATTTTCATTTATTAAACACAAATGAAATTAAATTTAGTAAAAAAAATTATATTTTTTTATTAACCCGAGGTAAGTACAATGTAATATTTGTTCAAAAATAACTTTCAACCTTTTAACATTGAATACTACCCTTGATATTCATTGTGCTTAAACTCAAGACTTCAAACAATAATAATAATTCTTTTATCACCAAAATCAATTAATTTGTGCTTATATTATTTTATTAAATACAAATGGAATGAAATTATAATTAATTAGTTTGATTAAAATTAGATAACATAACACTTGTAGCTGATGATGTGACCCGCCGATGGTTGGTTGGTATTGGAATATCGAGAATGATCATCGCCACACCTAACGGGTCTGATTGGGTGACCTTTGAGAATTTTATTTCTTCCCACTGTAGTGTTATTTCAAAAAAGAAAAATATAAAAAAAAACTGGCCCGTCTGTTCACATAATTGTGTCTGATAAATGATAGTTGACGTAAATAGTTTAACTGTTGCTAATTTAAGTACAGCAATGATTTTGTCCAACTACAAATGGATTTTATGGTTTGGCCGTTTTATTACAAGCCACCATTAATGGAAATCAGGTGCATGCATGCGGGTAAAAGTAATGCTTTTTCGTATCAAACAGGAGTAGCTTTTGTTTCAGATTCTTCTTTTTGAGGTTGAACAATCATCTAATATCATGACTTTAGATCATATTATGTTCTTAAGATCAGGGTTATTTTGTTTCCCTAGTGTAGGAAAGGAATGAAGAAATTGAAACATTATTTTCATACTGTTGTTTTCAACAGGGAAATTATAGCTAATTCAAGCACCAAGGTATCTTGATTTGTGCAAATCTTAGATATATCCTTGCTAATGAAAAGTACCTTTTGGCAGGTTACACCAAAGACTTTTAGCAGCTAGAATTGGAGAAAATGATTGAAGATGGAAGACACTGGCAGCAGAAAATACGAGCTTTTCAGACAAATAATGGAAGAGTTTCTATTCAAAGATTTGGGAGGAGATAAGAACAAAGAATGGTTGTGTACAATGGCAGAAATTATTATGGTGTTCCATGCATATTCCAAAACATTCTTGATTGCTGGGATGGTTGTTCAAGACAAGCTGCCTACCAAAGACAAGTTATTGACTAGAGGTTTAATGGTGGTATTCAAGGAGGATTTGATAGAGTATTCAAGGAGATGAGAAACCATTTGCTTTTCGAATGTGTGTATTCAAGGAGGATTTGATGAGTATTTTTTTTAAAAGTCTGATGTGATTACAATGTAATATATGTTAATAATACCTTTTAGTCATTGACAACATCCTACGAATTAGAAAAAACAACACTCTTTTTAATAATTGAGATCGACACATTTTACAAGTTAAACACATCATTTATTTTCATGTTGAATAAATATAAATATTTGCATATACTATAAGTAAACACAAAAAGGTGATTTGTAAAATTAAATGTACATTTGTTATTGATATAACAACTTTTGTTAAGTCTTCACTAATTTTTTTTTATGAATGATATTAAAAGAAACCATGTTTGAGGAATGATTAAAACCCAATTCAATCTAAACTCATCTTTATTAAAGTATTGTGGCATAAATCTACTCATACAAATTAAGTCTTCACTCAATTATGGAAAAAACAAAATGAAATGAAACTGCATCTACACCTTGGTTACAACCCCCCTCTAAAATACCCTTCCAAGTCTCTAAATTCTTGTAAAAATGACTATTTTGGTATAGTAATGACAAAGCCAGAGATCATCAAAGGGTGGATCAGTGTTTTGTGAACATCCCTTGCGTCAATGACGAAAAATCGTAATCCTTACCTGATTGCGAAGAATTCGCTGATGGAACTGGGGAAGCTGACTGGGGCTTGCTTGCTCCCGTTGTAGCAACACCATTTGCTGGGGTAACTTGTCCTAGTGCATAAAAGCTACAAGAGATGACAAATCCAACATTTTAGGAGCACGAAACAGTTTATGGATGAAATCCGTAATCTATTGGAGAATTATTTATCATAACACGTCAGTGGCATGGAGTTTGAGAATACAATTAGAACCTTTACAGGGAATTTAAAGTCACGGGGAGATCATAACCAACCGAACTCATGGCAAGGCCAATGGTATTACAAGAGACAGCCAAGAATAAAGAGATTAAATATGTACCTGGATGATGGATATGCAGCAGAGCTTGCCACTTGTGTCTGTCCCATACTCATAACCTAATGCCAACAGAAAAAGAAGTGCATGTATGAGAAACTTGATAGAAATATTTCTTTTAAAGCAATTGCAACTATACAATGGAATCTACCTGCATGAGTTTCTGCAGATCAGCCTGCCCAGCAACGGGCATCATCATTCCAGGGATTTGGTAGCCCATGTTTGGCCAAGTTTGAGTGGGTATGCTTGAGCCGTTAGATGGAGGCTGTTGAGTATTTCCAGAAGCTGATTTAGCTGCAGCAGCCATGAGAAGGGACTGTTGTTGTGCTAACATAGCTAGTTGTTGTTGATGCATTGCAAAAGGCGACACCATATTGGACTGTAATTGATTGAAACGATGAAATTAACAATGTTATATCCCACAAAGGGACAAAGAAAGGATCAGTCACGCTTTATCAATTAGCTCCAACCAAAAAGTGATTAATAAATATGTTTTTCACCAAGGATTCATAAAGATACAAGTAAAGGCTGTTGAATATATACCTTTTCAAAAAGGCTCATAATATCATTTTTCATGTCTTTTTTGGGATTCTCCGGCACTTGGTTGGTTGTTAATGGAAGCAAATCACCAAATAAATCCTCAATTCCAGTAGTAGACTGGGTATTACTTTCAGCAGCTTTTGGTGGACTGGATTTGTCAGCTGTGGAAGCCCCTCCGGCAGCTACAGAATACCATGTGTCAAAATCAATAGTAATAATAAAATGCTCTAACCATAACCCTCAATCTCGAGATGTTAGCACTAGATAGAAATACTGTTAACAAGATAATAATGAAAAAATGTGAATAAACAAAAGTTATTGAGAAATATTAAGACATACACTGAAAGCCTGCCCAATCGTCAGTAGAAGTTTCCTCAGAACCATTCTCGCTTGGACCATCATCCAAGGACAACATGTTGAAAAGGTCTGTAGCATAATCGACTTTAGGAGCCGTGACTATGGGAGCAGTCTCTACAGCTGACTTTGTTTTCTCAGCTGGTGAAACAACTGGTTCAGGCTTCTGCACGGGTGTGACCTATTTGAGCAGCACACTATGTGATATGAACATCATTTTTTTTTGAAATATGCACGTGTATATATAAGAGAGGTAAACTACAAGAAAAGAATACTATGGAGTAGTGAGCAAGAAAGTAAGTAAAACCACGCACAAAACAAGTTCAAGATCACAGTTCTATTTTTTTGCTACTTTAGCAAGTGATAAACTTTCTTTCCACATGGCATTTTTCTCATACTTCTTCATTCTAATGCTAATACCTCTAGGCTACCCATGTAAATGTATTAAAGAAAAAACAAATGAATGATTTTCTAGAAAGAATCAACAACAAAAGCACATACAAAAGAACTTAGTACCTGATCAGGTCCCTTAGGAGGAATAGGAAGACTGACTCTTGTTGCAGGGAGGCTTTCTTTTTTACCAGATGCTTGTTTATTACTCATTTCCTCCAATGAAATCCCATTATTACTAATGTGTCCATGACCACTTGTTTCAATAGGTCTCTGCCAACGTGAGGGAGCCCTTTCGTCCAACCCACTAGGTGGTGATTTGGATCTTCCATCTCGAGAAACCCATCTTTTTTCCTCATACCTATGACAAGAGAATATACAACAATTATTATAATACCAAAAAAATCACTTAACCTAAAAGAAGTTAATTGTGAATAAAGAAAACACATGCTACATACTTTGCACGGATGAAGTTTTCAATTCCAACTCTATCATAATTAGGGGGTAACTCAGCTTCCCAGTAACTGTTTGCCTTTTCATTCCCCATTGCTGTATAATAAGATAAACTGTTGTCATAATTTGTAGGCTCTCTGCTCTTATCCATCTTAACATTAAAACCATCATTAATCATGATAATACATATTCATGGCCTAACAAATAACTTACATTGAATAAAAGCAACCTGCTCAGGAAGCCACGTGTCTAGTGTAGCAGATCGAACCTGCAGCAAGAGTCAGTAAGATGCAGGAATCCATTTGGTAAAAATTAACTATATTCCACAGTTTTCACTAATAATAAAATCAAACATAGAAGAAGAAACATGTGCAAGAACTATCAGGTAAAAGTTTTTCTCAGATAACAGTTGGCATCAGAGACAATTTGGATTTTGGAATCACCTAGATACAGTGCAGGGAAAAAAGAGATAAAATCTTAGGTTGCCAAAAACAGAGCAATCCCAACATCTAAGTGAGCTAAATCCATAACTCTATTGGGAAAAGCTTTATAATTAATTTGTTATGAAAAATATAAGTGAAAACAGTACACAAGTAGTGACCGTCGCAGCAACTCAATGAACCTTCTCAACAAGGAAGAGATAAATGCAAAATTCAAGAGATAAGAAAAGCACCTTCGATATGTGTACCCCAAGACTTCTGTGGATCCCAGAACATTGCATGCATATAAAGATACCTAGATTCACACTTGCCCATCTTGGACCTCTGTAGAGAAAAGGAGGCAATTATTAGCACTGTGGTAAGAATGACTGAATGAATGTTATCATCAAAATTGAGATGATTTCTATTTCAATATTTTCTATTAGGATATCATCAAAATCTCCAGTAACATACTTGGTTTTGCAGTCAGCACATTCCCTATTCTCTGGCAATTTAAGAAGACCTTCAATAATCTGCATAGGAGGTGAAAAATAAGAACTTCAATCCCAATAATAGACTGAATAAACATCAAAATTGAAAAAATTATGA